TCACGGTAGTCACCCAGTCGCAACTGGGTGCTCGCTTTTACCAGCTGGGTGGTATGCCGCCATTTTATTGAAACCAACATCTGAAACGTCACAATTCAAGTGTGAACTGCAAAAATGGCGTGACTGAAGTGTCTTATTTTTATCAAATGAAATTATTTTCCCTTTTATGCCATATAAATGGTTGACTTCGTGATAGAAAATCAGAAAATAATATTTTAAGAGTTCTAAGTTTATTTTTCACAAAATGTAAGCAAAAATATTAAGAATATCTAAAATATCAGTCACGCCTTTTTTGAAATTCTGGCTTGAATCTTCTATTTGTTTACAAATTATGAGCTGTCAGTGGGGCCCACGATTCGCGGGCCCGCAGCGATATTAGCTCTTTTCAAGGCAAGGCAAACAAGATAGGGCTGCCACCCAGCTGGCTTTTACCGACGGCAAGAGATATAATGAAAAATGCCGGCGCCGGTGGTGTAGTTTTAAGCGTGACTGCTTTCTAACACCCCAATGGGTCTGGGTTCAATCCCAGCCGAGGTCGGTGGGATTTTTCTGAGGCAAAAAAATCTCTGGTCACGTCTTCCTTCGGAAGGGAAGTAAAGCCGTTGGTCCCGGCCCATGTGTGCTTGAATGGGTGCGATATCCTACGCAGGTGTGGAAGCTGCCTTCCTGCACATTCGATTGCCGTCAATGGATGGCAAACGATGTCCGTCGGTGATTGGCACTAGATTGCGGAACAGAGACCGACGTTAAATAAAGGAAAGAAGATATAATGAATGCAACACACTCGTTACAGCGTAAAACACTGGCCAGAGTGAGCAGTTATAACATGTTATAACGGTTGTCAAATAATTGCAACACAGAAACCACCATCTAGATATCGCTATAATATGTTATAACTCTGTTGTCTGAACAAGGTATAATGGAAATGAAAAAGTTTATAAAATTGAAACTTAACACAGAAATTCAGAACCCAATTTTTCAAACGGTGTTTGTCAAAATTCACAAATTTTGTGTTGTGCCAGAATTGCACAAAACCAACGAAACCAACGTTGTTTAAAACCAGGCTTGTTTCCACTCACTTGCTATAAAAAAAATAATTTTCGGGATTTTGGAATCATTAGATGCTACAATGATATTTTGTGCTTTTTAGATACAATAAGAGGTGGAAAGGCAAATGTTTGACACATAAAACTATTCAAATTAGCTTTCAGATAGCCACAATCAACGATTTTACGACTCGCGAGCGCTCATTCTGAGTGAACGCTCACGAATCATAAAATCGCTGATTGTGACACTCTGAAAGCGAAATTGGCAGGTTCATGTGTCAAACACATACTTTACAACCTCTTCTTTTAACTTATAAGTACAACATATCATAATAACATCTAAAGATTTTATATCACGCACTTTATAAATTTTCACCTACCGCAACGCATAAATGAAGCTGAAACTTCTAATGTTTACATCAGCTGTCAAAAACTGACGTATAATTGAACCAGAAGAACCAAAAAATCGGCTTCAAGCAAAGTGTTCTTGGATTACTTTTGTGCCACCGGAGTGCCTTCAATATCAACACACCTACTTCCGATCAGTTTTCGTGCTGTTTGTTTCGGGTGGATCCTTTCTATAAGGAATTCGGGGGAAATCTTTTTTCGGGGGGGGGGGGGGAATCCTTTCGGGAAAAAATTAGTTCTGTTGATAGGGTAGAGAACTACTTCGGCCTAATCGCCCATTTTGGGCCTATCGAACAGAAAACTTCAAATAAATCCATGATTTCAGAGTTAACAAGTCAATTATGCGTTTGGTACGATACTTTAGTTAATAAGCTACCAAACGAAGTCAATGAGAACGCGTGATATGAAGGTTTGCACCCATTATTTCCACAAACAAAAGAAGCGCTCCGACAGAATCAATTTTTATCTTCATCTGATAGGCCGAAGTGAATTCATTGACGTTTCAATGACGTTTCAATGCGTTAGACCGAGTATGGAATCCGTAGGCCGAGTTTGGCGTCAAAAAGCAGTGTTAGCCTTTGCCTATCTCAACGATTGGTTTCTCTATAAGCAAATCTTACGATATGTACGGAAAGGTAAATAAATTTGGAAGCCATCAATAATAATAACATTCCGTTTGGTGCTAAACTACGCTAGATTAAGGAATGCTAAGTGCGGGTAGTGCTAAATAGGCCGGAAATGGGGTAGTTAACCCTACGTGGAAATCCATTTGGAAATGGCTTCTGCGAAACTTGCAGCAAGATATCTGACATGATGGTACAGATAATCAATAGACCTGATGCAAAATACAGGATACATTAATTTTATGATAATTCTCGATTCAAAATATTTTAATAATTACCTGCGTAATTATGGGATATTGTTGTGTTTTATTGCAATTTGACAGATCATTCGTCTCAGTGAATTAGTAAAAACTACCTGTCAACTACGATCCTCACAGTAGTCTAAAAATTCATTGCATGAGCAATAAAGAGACGTATTTTTTTAAATCGTGCCTGGTGATTGAACAGATGTTTATTGATTTTTTGCTATAATTTTGGTCTGAATTGGAGGAGCCTGTATGAAGTCGGATTTATTTAAGTAAGGGTTGATGCATATACTATGTCACGCTCTAAGTGAGGGGGGGGGTCTAAGATTTTGAGACAAGCAATGCATTAGGTATAGGAAAAACGTCACGATAGGAGGGAGGGTATGTAATTTTTTGCTCGATTTAGCGGACATAATTAATGCATGGGCCCTAAAACGCTCGATTTAAATTTTTTTTAACTAGTGGACGATTTTTTGTACAATTAGTGGCAGATTAATGATCTCTACTACGACTTAAAATGAGCAAAATTTCAAGAAAATATGTTCATTTTATTTAAAGAAAACGGAGTTTTCCTTAAATTGCTCTAACATTTTGTAAACTCAAACAAATATGCCCGATTCTGAGCAAATAATTGATAAACGTATGCTGAGTCAGCAGCCAAATATTTAGAGACGTATCTTTTTAACTTTGGCTTTTAGAGTTGTATTTTTTTTAATTTAAGTACTGTAAAACGGGGTAACATTGATAGTTTTTTAAAGTATATGTATTCTAAATATTTTTTACAGCAATGAATGTTTTTCAAATTTTATATTTTTAAAACAAGTACTGAGGATTCAAGAGTTAATTCGTAAGTAATATGTTGAAAGAAAATTAAAGCATTTGCATTATTTTTTTAGTTTCGTGACCGAACTTCAGTATTTTGATTTGGGGTTACTTTGATAATGATCGATAAATGTAGAAAAAAATGAGTGAAACTCAAACAATTTAGTTCTTTAAATATGAAACGTTAAAAGAGTATTTAATCAGAAAACTTCATAAGCAATAAGAATACAACATTGAATTTGTGATGGCTGTATCGAAAATACATTTCATAAGTGATGGTTTGAGTGCTAATATGTAACACATACTATATAAAAACTATATACGATATCAACGAAAATACCATAAGCTACAATATGGAACCAATGTTTCTTATTTGGAAAAAGCACAACAAACAAACAATTTGAGCTGCTTAAAGGCTGAATAAGCTATTTTTTAGCTGAAGAAGCAAAATTTTGACTGAATAAGCTCTTGTTCTGCTTCCAATGTTTGTTGGGCAGCGAGTAAATTTATTCTTTATATTATACTATCAAAGTTACCCGCATTATCAACGATACCCCGTTTCACGGTATTCTAAAAATAATAGAACTGATCTGGAAAAGATTGAATTGATCAGTACCAATTTGTTTCAATTATTTAGATGATTTTTTCACACTGGAACCCTTAAACAAACTGATATCAAATCTTTTTATTAATAACAGGAGCTTAATAATGATGTTATAATTTAGTTATACCCAGGCATGGCAAATCATTTACATTCATTTCATACATTCATTTACATTCATTTGTCTCTAACTTTTTTCATCAACAGCATTCCGCAAAATGATGTATATAGCTTTTGTAGGTTTTGTTATTAACTACAACTTTTGATCACATTTCAAATCTGTATCTCTTATGCATCACGAGCTAGAGCGGGCAGAACTTGTTACTGTTTTTCAGTGAATGTAAAATGCATTCACTGAAAAAAAGTAGTGGATTCTGTTCGCTCTGGTTCGTCATGCATCAGAGATAAGGATTTGGCTTGTTGACAAAATGTGTAGCTAATAACAAAACCTACAAAAGCTTAATACATCATTTTGCGGAATGCAGTTGATGAAAAAAGTTAGAGGCAAATGAATGTATGAAATGAATGCAAATGATTTTCCATGCCTGGTTATACCTTTCTAATTGTTTAGACACGCGCTCGATGAAAATCACTGGGCATAAAATAAATTAAATGATAATGAATTTCATGTCATTTATCAACCAATGACAATAATAGATATTACAAATATGAAGCCTATTTGGAGCATTGGCTATAGCCAAGTATAGCCAACTTATATCACGAACCACACACGGAGGCCATTTTTCTACTTTCTGATCGATGACATCAACATCACGTTCTCGCTTGCACAAACCAATATTATTGTTTGCTCAGTAGTGTTTGCATAATTCAAACTGAAGACGTCCAATGCCTAATAAGAACATCACGAGGTGCTCGATAGCAGGTGAATAAATTGATACGCCAACAGAATGAATAACACGTGAGGTGACAAACAGTCTAGTTATATCATTGTTTGGCACACTGGCAGTTCTGAAATCTCGTCTAACATGTTCAACAATGCAATTAATTATTAGTATTTGATAAGCACATAGGTTCTAAATCGCCTTAGCAACGGTGTTATCAATTATAAACACAGTCCATCAATATTGATCGACCAACTGATCTAGGCAGCAATGCAAATTAATTGATCACACTAAGTGATACATTTTATCTCGAAAAATACCGGTCTGCAATCACCGATGTGCATGTGAAGCCCGCGTTCAATCATCAATTAGTTAATTTGTTTACTAATTCAATCTCCCTTTTTATTTCGCAGGTAACAATCACGTGATCTGTCCACCAAAGCTTCTCCTGCTGGACCTGAAGCGCAACGGATCGATCGTTCTTCGCTACGAATTCCCCCAGGAAGTGGTCCCAATCGGTAACAACTACCTGAACAAAATCGTAATCGACGACGCCTTCGGTGGCTTTGTCTACATCACCGACAACAGCGGATCCGATCCGGGCATCGTAGTGTTCTCGAGACGTCTGCATCGGTCATGGAAGGTTCGCGAAAACAATTCGATGCGGGCGGCACAGAATGCCGTAAACTTTTCCATAAACGAAACCCAGCTGACATTCTCGATTCACATCGATGCCATCGCACTGGGACCGTACTACAATCCGAACGTTCAGAACGATATCGATCCCCAGGTAGATCCGTTGCTGGCTAATCAGAACTACGAGAGGAACGTGTACTATACTCCACTGTCCAGTTACCATCTGTACTCATTGCCGGCTTCGTTGTTGCGAGATCCGGAGTATGTGGCCAAGGCGACTCCTCGGGATGTTTTGGAAGCGGTGACGGACTACGGAAGGAAGAGCTCGCAAACCGACGGAATGATCATGGACAACCAGGGTGAGCTGTATTTCGGTTTGCTAGGGGATCACGCAATCGCCCGATGGGATTCGTACAAACCGTTCACGCCTAAGAACCAGGTCGTTATTGCAAAGGATCGCACCCACATCCAGTGGGTGGATGGAATGGGATTCGATCACGAGGGGTATCTGTACGTGGTGGTTAACCGATTGCACAACTTTGTCGCCGGACGGATGCAAGCGAATGAGGCCAACTTTAGGATTCTCCGGTCGAAGACCAACGCGCTGGGATACGTTAACACGCCGAATAATGTGTTCAACAATGATGTCCGGTATAAGTACGACGGAGAAGTGGACAACAGCTTACTGCACTATGGCGTTTCATCAACGACTCCGGTATCGAGCCGGTTGGAAACGGCAGGAATTTTCGGCCGAGGAGCAGCCGGTGGGAAAGAAGCTAGCTTGGTGATGATTGCGATTTCACTGGCGCTGGCAAAGATCTTGGCAGCCTAGAGCTTCGTTCACCGAAAAGAAGGAGAAAGTGGTGCAACATTTCCTGATTTCAGTTACCGAGTAGAGTATCTTAATTACCGTGTAAGTCGAGCTTAAGTTGTAAATAATTGATGTTACGAAGTGTAAATAGATTTTAGAAACCGATGGACGATACGAAGTGTTGACGTTGTGCAGTTTAAAACTGGAATAAAGATTTTAAGAGGAGATGTTTGGATTGATTCATGAAGGAAGTCCCTGTTGGCTAAACAATGAAAATCGTTCAGCAATGTGAAAAATGCGATAAAGCATTCTGAATTTTATAGTGCGTCGTTGCTCAATACGCTATTCTTAAGATCATCAGTCTTCTCTGATATACTCAAGACAATTGGTTGAGCTCTTGCTGTTATTATTTTTCTCGTTTGCTTTGTTCATTATTACAGAAAAAGGAAATATCTAACTCACTTCAAACGGTCTGCAAATTGCGGATGCTAAGCTGTGGAAACAATGGAATTCTTCTGTAAAGATACCAGCCTGGGTCTCTCATTAAAATTATGTTTCACCTGCAACCATATTTATGCAGCGTTACATAAAATAGCCAAAGCATACCCTTTCTTACCACCAATCCGGAAAACATACAAAATTATATTTTTTTTTCTCAAATGCTTACACAACCATCCGATAACGTCATCATTATGAGTGATTATATTTCTGGTCAGTCAAAAGGTGAACATCAAAGTAAATGAACAAGGCCTCAGGAGCGAGCAGAAAATCACATTCCTACCCCCCCACAGCGCCAATTCCAATTCCCCGGAAAACAAATGCGAATAAAACCAACCCGTCGTCCAATCACATGCTGATTGACCCATCAAATTATCTGCATTTTTGGCCTTTTAGACATAAAAAACAAAAAGACCCCTTGCGGACTGAAACAAAGGCCCAACAGGTAGTTGACCGAAGTCAACTCGTCGTCTTTGATGTCGGAAAAAATATGGTCAATACCGTCGTTATCAACCCGCTCGCTCTTGCCTCTGTTTGGCGCGGTGCAATCGGGAATGTAACTTTTACGATCTTTCATTCAACTTGTTTGATGGTAAAAAACACCCAGCCCCACATCCAAGCACTGAAAAATAAGAGTTGCCCACGTTATCGTTGCTCCGTTGCGAAAATAACATTTGAGCGGCGTTGGAAATGGGTCCTTTTTTCACGTTTTCCATAGAATGTGATAAGCAGCTTAAGTATGACTCGAAGTAGATTGTAAATTAGTGCCTCATTTACATTTCACCTCTGACCACCCGGTAATGTTGACTCTCATTCATTTCCTTTTTTTTTTGTCAAGATAAAAATCAATTGTCCATCAATGTTGACCTTCGTGACTGTCAATGAGGTCCACATGGGCGTTTCCAAAGGATTGAAACCCGTTTAAATACTGAATATGATATAACACTACTTTGGCATAAGCGCCCATTTCCGTCATATCAAGCAGGAACATCAACCAATCAATGATTTCGACGTAAACGAATCAATCGTGCGTTTGGTACGGTAGTTCAAGGTCCATTTAGGCTATCTGATTTCTTGGTCTGATTTTGCCGGTCGCCAAAATGAAAAATCTGCTCGATTTTACTTTCGACACACTTTGTCGACCGCCCTGTTTGCTGGTGTTCACACTGTTTGCGCATGTCCTTGATTTGTTTTCCGTCGATCTTGTTTTCCGTGCTGAGCACCAATGCTACCGACGCCAGGGAGGCAGCTCCCAAACCTGGACCATACCTATCAACACATCAACTCATGAACCGGGGACCAAGTCTTTCTTTCCGAAGGAAAACGTGATCAGAGATGTTATGCCTCAGAACATCCCGGCGGCGCCGACTGGGATTGAATCCAGGCCTGCTGGGGTGAGAGGTAATCACGCTTGCCACTACACCGTCGCTGCTTGCACATGTCGAAATAATTGTCAATTTAGATTTCAAAATAAAACTGTATCGGGAATAAAAAGTAATTGCTTGCATAATGAATAACCGGAAAATTGCTCTAGCTTTGGCAGGTGTATTTGCTTTTATTATTTTAAATAAAATGAGAAGGAGAAGGTGAACTTTGTAGAGTAGGAAATGGTTGCTCAGGAGAAACACCTGCAGGAATCTGGCTTATCTTGTTATCTTGACTTGCCATATTTATTAAGACGAAAAAGGATTTCAAAACTTCACCAGGATGTTGATACCAACTTTCGACAAGCTAGTGGGAAAAGTTCTCTATAGATCCACATGATTCCTTGAGTTCTGAAAATTTCTGTTAAGATCTCAATTTTGCATTTTTCTCTGAAGACCTTCGGACGTCCCTGAAGATTTATTTTTCTTCTCTGGTAAAATATCTTTGAAAATAAACAAACTTTTCTGAAGATCTGCAAATTTCTAGGTAGTGCGGCATTTCTTAGAAGTTCTGTTTGTTCTTTAGATGTTCTGCAAATTTCTTTAAAAATTTACCAGGTTTCTGAATCCATACAGATTTAAGATCATTAAATATCAGCAGTTAGTTCTGATGTTCACTAAATGTCTAATAATCTACAAACTTCTCGAAAGTTATATAATTACCTCTGTAGATTATCATGATTCAATTAATATCTGAAAATATCTTTGAATATCTAAGCTTTTCCCTTAAGTATAAAAAAAAATATCTAGAAATTTTTGAGCTTCCCGGAAATTTAAGTTGTGCAAATATCTATAAAGATCTGCGAATTTCCCAGAAGTTCGGTCAATTTTACTTAAATTTCAAGAACCTCAACAAAATTCTGCAGATTTTTCAGTAGATCTTCTCTAAAGTTCTGTACATTTTTTGTGGATTCTTGGACTTCCGTAAAGTTCTGCACATTTATTTCAAATTCTTTGAAATTCCTTAAAGCTCTACACGGGAAAAATCAGATTTCCGAAATGAGAAAAATGACTCATGATTAGACCTGTGCGCCGATCAAAATATTTTCGGCAGCGGCGTGATATCTACGTTTTCGCGAATTTGAGTAACCTGAACTCAAATATGTAATTTGAGTAACCTGAGCTCAAATGTGTTTTCATTAGCCGTGCATGAGGAATTTGTTTAGAAAAGTATGTGCTAGTTAAAATTGCGGGGGGTTGAGTCATATGGCAAAGTGTTACAACCCTTTTATTAAGTATAAAAAAAAGTACGTTATGTAGGGGTGGATAGTATATAAAAGCAATCTGTTGCATTACGTAACAGCCACTGCTTACTGCAAAACTCTATTTTTACAAATGCTGTAATTGTCATGAATGAAGATTGTTTTATCCACATTGTTAGGGTGGATGACTGACCGACGTGCTGACCGTATCTGCCCAGCTATGTTAAAAACTCGTTCACATGGCGTGCTGGTGGTGGGCACACACAATACCTTGCGAATCAAGGCTGCCAACCAAGGATACTTACTTAAGGGTCCTGTACACCACCGGATGTGCAAAGGGCCAACGCGAAAGACTTCCATCATGGGCGGCTGCTCGCTTTTGCCTTGACCTGGGCGCAGGTCAGATTCCTATCGACTTGCTTTATTTCCTTGCTGAGTTTTTTCCACCATGAGCCCCTGGTTCTTTCTTGCTGCGATGTCCTGCCGGATTCCAAGCAGCGCTTGCATGCAGATTTCATTTCCGCCCCGTCGAAGTGTGTGGCGGACCCACCACTTTCGCTATCGAATTTCTATTGCTATCGGCTTCTGATGACATCGAGGATGAAGTTCGGCATTTGATATCAAGTTGTGAGGCCACCAGACATGAATTATATACCGCAGGCATCGGTTGATGAAGACCTGCAGCTTCTGAGTGTTCTCCCCTAATACACACCACATCTCGCTGACGTATAGCAACACAGATGTCACGTTCGAGTTGAAAATTCGGATTTTGGTGCGTTGACTTATCTGGTTTGATCTCCATACGTTTCGTAAACTCGCAATGGCAGCCCTAGCCTTCTTGATTCGTGCACCTATGTCGCTCTTGGTCCTGCCGTCCGACGCTATTTGGCTGCTAAGAAATTGGAAACTTTCGACCTTCTCCACTGTTTGCCCCGCTACCGTAAAGTTGGAAGGGTTGCCCGTGTTGACATCCAACGATTAAGTCTTGTTGACGATGATGGTGAGACCCGCCGCAGAGGAGCGTTCGCCTAGGTCATTGAGATTACTCTGCATATCAAAACGCCGTTGTGCTAGTAGAGCAAAATCATCAGCCAAATCGAAGTCGTTGAGATGCTTCATGATGATAGCCTTCCAAAGCAGCCCACGGTTTGGTACACGGTCGATTGCACCCACCATGATCTCGTCGATTATGATGAAGAACAGTAGCGGTGATAGTATACATCCTTGCCTCACACCAGGATAGGGTCAGACAAGGCTCCGTTATGCAGAACTCTGCACGAGAAAGCCTGATACTGCGCTTCGATGAGGTTGACGATTTTATCCCTTGCGTCTCAGGGCGCCCCACAGATTCTCGTGATTGAGTCGGTTTAAAGCTTTTTCTTAGTCAATGAATATCAAATAAAGGGACTATTGGAATTCATTGACGTGCTCCATGATGATGCGGAGCATGAAAATATGGTCCACACAAGATCTTCCGGCACATAATCCTGTCTGCTGCCTCCAGAGAATTGCGTCGATCTTCTCCTGTATTTCATTCAGGATAACTTTGCACAGAACTTTGAGAATAATACACAGTAACATGATGCCTCGGCTATTGTCGCACACAATCAGATCCCCCTTCTTTGGGACCTTCACTAAGATGCCCTGCATCCGGAAAAGTCGCGGTGTCTCAAATATTGCAGAATAGTTGATGCAACATTTGAGTAGAGGAGCATGGAGTCAGTTTTGAGCATCTCTGCTGATATGATGTTGGATTTCCTGCAACAATACTGCAGCTTTCTAATTTTCCAAAAGCATAGAATATCTCCACCTACAACGTTGTTAGGGTATGAGGAAACTCTAGTCCACTGTTTTATTCATCCTATGTTTTCGTCGGATCGAGAGAAAGAAAGAGACAGGTAGTTTCCTTCTGCCTCACCTATAGATCTCGCTCATTGAGACAAAACCACTGAGATTTTTTACGTTTGATCAACGCACCAAAAAACTATCTCGAACAAGAGCGAGCAGGAGGGAAAAAAATGATTCATCCGATTCATCCCTGTGTGCTACATAGAAAAAACGAAATACTAAGTGACAATTGCTGTCTCATACACGCTCAT